GTACTAAGCTTTCTCTATGGCACATTTTCCGTTGTGTTGGGCGGGAATCTGCTTCCACGTCTTCTGCGGCCGTGTATCGTCAATTTGGGGTGCCCAGAGTAGCTTATAATTTCCGTAAGGGTTCATAGAAGTTAAATCCTCCTTATGAAACATAGGCCGTCAATGTCAATACGTGCTGTGTTTTGTAGACAGGGTGGCGCGTTAAGTTAGAGAACTCTGTACCAGTCCGTTTGTCGTAACAGACATACGTTCATTCGCTATTCCTTAAAACAGAACCAGTCCCTTCCATGCAAATAATAACGGGCCATTTTAGTGACTGGGTCGAAGTTCACCGATTATCCAATCGTTCAGGGTCGCTCTTAAGATTAAAGACTTTACTTTTCCGACCCACACTTTGCGTTATTATAGATTTTTATACGCCTGCTGAAAAATTCGAGAACGACTTTCATGGGGCAAACTGGGTAGAAGTTAACGGGGTTTAGATTTAAAGGACGCAAAAGTGTGTTAAATGGCTCAAAAGCCATCTTGGTGATACCTGGAATTTTGCTACAGGAATTTAAGGCCGTTTCGGTGAGACGGATATCAGCTGCCTGTTTAATCGCTTACTTAAGCTCGAACGGTTAATTTGTTTGTGCCTTTCTGTGCCGTTAGTCTATCTGTCGTTTTAAGCCTTTGCGTCTTTGAGAGCTTCAGCGTTCCGATGGAAACTTTTGCAAGTATCGTATTTGAGTGATAGCTCTGTGTGTTTGACGCCCAATCGTTTACTATGCACGCTTACTAAAACAATAGTATTTACAAATTAAAAATGTATTTTGTTTTAATTCAGTAAGTAGTTTAGGTTGTAAATTGAAGCTAGAGTCGCGGCGGACGGTAGTTATATTCAATAAATATGACATAGATTATATAGGTCATCCTGTCTTTGTTTAGATACGGTCTTAGAAACAACTTAAAAGAGAAATTCCGGATTTACACGGAACATCCTAGGTGTGTATGATAAAGGCAAACGCTTCTTCGTTTAGACAGACTAAGGCGACTATGCAGACAATTTTGAAGACATATTTTTCACATTCTGCATGCCAAGCCACGAAAAGTAATCCATTATTTTGTTTGGTGTAGGCCATAGCATAAACGGCTGGGTTAAAACATACCAAGACTGGGTTGCTTATCCGAGAGAACTTACAGAGTGTTCAGGATTACAAAATAGCTGCAGATCTGATTGTGAGCGCCCTTTACTCTTTCATGTTATTCCTCCTGATGACTTCGAATAGATTCTCATAGCCGCGGTAATTGTTACTGACCTCGGCCACTTTATATCGGCTAGCTGAAAAAAGCGATTTCAACGAGTGTCGCAGGATCGAACGTTATCAATGCCCGTAGGTCAGTATGGCACTCTATGGCAGCTAGCCAAAACCCCTGATATTGGGAGCTCGGGCTTACAAATTTCAACCAGCATTGATTCCACCTCTATCGCAGTCGTCTCACGGTGTAGTACATAATAACTAGTAGGTGTATTCACCAGATGGTGAAACGCCGCAAAAACTCTAAATGATGGAATTTTATCAGCAACTTTCTTGTGTACTCAATGATCGTGGTACAGGTACCACGGGGTTATACACCTCAATAGTGCATGTTATATGCTCACTGTGTGACCCCCCGTTCCGTAGCTTAGGTTACACTACGGATAAACATGATCTACTTCTATACATCAGCTAATAGCTATGGCTTAGTAATTCAGTAGCTCCTGTCGCAGACGGCGAGTGTAGAGGTATAGAAGTGGAAAAAGGGTTCGGTTGGCGACAAAGCGGTTAAACGTTCCTTGCAAATGTTCATTTTGACTGCGCTCACCACTACTATCACCATCGTCATCATCATCGAAGCCATTGCCGTGGTCCGGGCACCGGTCGTATTATGTCAGTAACTTAGGCCACTAGAGATCAGCGACTAGCCACCAAGCCAACTAGCGAAAGATACTGCCATTTTGAGCCCCATATCGTTCGCTGGGTTGCTCCTGTCTGTCAGTCCTGTACCCGTTCAGCCCTATTAGGGTGGAACAGGACAGCCTGCGCCGTCCTATACAACCAGGGTCTCCTCTTCCTGGTCTGGCTGACGCAAATCCGGGTAAAGCGTAACGCGGGGCGCGCGCCGTTGCACGCCACTGTCGACACTTCGAAAGCGTGTCGTGGCATTTATGGCCGCTGTCGAGGGCAACAGCGAACCGGGGACAAAACGGGCTGCCATTTGCTAGTTGCCGGCGTGCTGCCTGGCTGGGTAAGTTCTGCTTTGTCGTCGCCCATGCCTCCGACTCTCGTAACTGTCCCTGTATTCACATAGGGGCTAGATGGAGGGAACGAAGAAGAACGCGCCTGCTGCCTTGAATTCTGCTGGCCCAGTGGGAACCAATCGGAGCCCAACAGCTCCAAAGAATCTGGCGGAACGCATAGAAGGCTCGTTCGTTGATCTCTTTGATGGGTGAGGGTGGTCGCACCCAGAACAGTTCCTTTTACGTCCCGCGATTTCATTCCGCTAGTCTCCCCTCACTCACGTTCTCTTACTTCGAATCCGTTTGGACTCGAGGGGCCGACTCTCAACGAAAGGGCCAACAGCAGCAGAGGCTGCCTGATACATGGTACAGCATCAGTGAACGGACCTGGGCCACGTCCTGTTCGCGGCCTCGTTTCTTCGAATACAGAACAACAACAAACGGGAGAAAGGGAGGTCCCGTTCCGTCGAATTTTGTGCCGCCACGGTGCGTGGCACAAAAGAGCGAAACCCTTGGTACTCTTACGTCAGAGGAGGGAAGTGGTTGTGGAGAAGAAGAAGATGAATCAGGCATGTGTGTGGCAGATGCACAGCTTCGTTATGGATCCACGGCCGCAGGCATACGACAGACGGGTTGCGACAATGCGGATCACACACATCATATATATATGTGTGTGGCTCCCTGTTGTATATTTTTCTATAGACCCCGTCTAGCTCCAGCTGGAGGAGAAACCAATAAGATGTGAGAGCGCGTATCACAACAAAACCGTTTTAGCTGGTCTTACGTTAGCGGTTGCCGAATTCGGGCTGAATTTACCTATATATATATATATAATTGTGGCGAATTATCGTTGTCCTCATAAACGTCTCGCAATCTTGTTGCCCTGGCTTCTGCTATTAATAGATATTTTTGATCCTCTACCATCTAAAGCTTAATGGGGCTGAGGGTGTGGGATGCCGCTGGCTCTTAGCATGCCATAGAACTTCAACGTTTCTGCATTTACTGTTATTGCTACTAATGATAAATTGCAGGGCTATGTTGTGTACGCGTTAATTAAATGCCCATTCGAACATATATCGGCTCAATAATTAGGCGCATATGCGAGCATTTGGTCTCCGTCCATCTTTTTTTTTTACCAAGTAGTTAATAACAAAGCAGCTATATATATTATATAAAACCATATATAATATGCAAACAGCGAAGTATATATAGCACTGATTATTAATTCGACTCGTGTTTGGAAATAAGCCTTGACATATTGTTCGTCCGCCAATGACGAACCCTTTGTTACCAGTTCTACAAAAATGAGATGGAAATTGAAAATCGCTTTGGCGAAAAAAAAAAAAAAAATGAACGGTTTTACTAGCTATATGAGTTTAAAGTCACATATCTCAGATAATACGAACCGCATGGGCGTTGGTGAGAGCCGAAATTGGTTAGTAGAAAATGGACCTAAGTTGTTGCATTCAGACCCAAGACAAAGATGAAATGTTTGCAGAAAATTTTTATATTTTATATTCAATGCTATAATGTGCAAATCCTATCCAAACCCATAAAAAATAAGTGCTGTCGATGATCAAGTTACGCCATCGTGGCAAAGAGTTTAAAAGTGGGTTTTATGTGACCAATGCTACTGGTAATTGAGTAAAGCCGACTGTTGACTAGCCATTATATCGTCAAGGGACTAAACACGGGCCAGCAAAGAGTCTTAAACTATTTTCAAAAAGCAAGTTACAAAAAAAAAAAAGCTCGATGTTTTGGGTGCCACAGCATTCATTTTATCATATCTTCATTGGTAAAATTTTACCGAAAGGCAACATAGTCAAGCCCTCTCGATGGCGGCTAATCGCGATAGATGCATGTATGACATTAACATGCAAATAGAAAAGAGGAAAAATGTATTCTGCAATATGTAGCAAGGCCCAAATTACCGCCAAAAAATAATGCTACGTATTTTATGGTTTTACGGTATAACGAATTATGAATTATGATCAAGCTTGGTAAACGATTGATTCGAATCTCCACTGTCAACAACGACGAGCCACACAAAATGCTGAGCGGAACTAGTGAACTAAAGGAAGCGTCGTCATCCACCATCACGATACCAGACCAGACCAGACACATCTTCAGTTTTATATTGAAAAAGCTTGGCTGGGAAATCTGCCGTGTGGCCCACATCATGCATTGTCACATTGTTATCATCTATTTTGGTCACTGCAGAGATCCCTTGATGGTGCTTTGTTTCAACGGAGGAATACAACAATGGCTTGCCACATTTTGCCACCCAGAAACCCACCCAGAAAGTTCTACAATGATAGAATTGAGTTGTTATAAAAAAACCGCAGAAGGCCGTGGATCAAAGTAACGCGTATTTAGTTTAGTCGTATCATATTCACGTATGTATATTTGCTTCAGGTTTTACTACTTAAAAACTGTCAATATCTCTTCGACAAGCCAACAGAGATAGTATCTCGACACATATATGTGTATATATATGTCTGTACCGAGATCCTATCCGTTGCCGCTATCATCACTCAAACCGCTTACGGTCCATATAGCATGTAATGTGTATAAAGAAATCCTCATTGTTTTGTTGCTAGGAGATCAAAGACCCTATTTTTAATAAGTACTCTAGTGCTGATGATAATATATACATCGTTACATGCATACTTGTATAAATACAGACGCGCTGCAGACGATCGCATCGTATCTCAATTACATATTGTGTTTGATTTTACAGATAGAGGACGCTATGCTCATGTTCGATAAACAGACGAATCGGCATCGAGGTAAGTGAAAGCGCCGCTCGAAACGTTACAGTTTGTTGAATTTTTTGCTGTTCGAAATTAATACCACCCTACCATCGCAGGGACTTTTAGGACAGAAAGATTTGCTGTACTTGGTTGAAGAACCAGCCTGATTGCACCGCCATATGTCAGACAGGCTTCGACTGCTAGTGAAGTTCTAAATAAACTATTAATTCTACGACCAGATTACTACAGAAAAGCGAATTACGTTCATGCACATATGTTACGTTTGTGTAACATCACGAACGTACCAAAATTGAACTGACTGCATAAAAAAAACGCCACCAGCTCAGCTAGCAAATGGCCGTTTTGTCGTGAAATGCTAGAAGACGCAGGACAGGAGGTATACGAGATAACCATGCAGTATTGGATTCTCGCGAGACCCCAACCAACCGGCTTTCATCTAATTTTCGACGGCAATTGACAATTGATAGTTTGTTGCCAACTTTTACCCGGCGGTTAATTTCTGCGAGCTTCCGTCTATGTAAGGCTTAGTGCAAGAGACACACGACAAACGGAGATGTCGACGCTTTACCGATGCTGAGAGTACCGCTGGTGCGATCGCTGCTCCTGCTGTAGTTTGTACGCACAATGTAGTGACGTCATGAGCAGCTGCTGTTGACACCGCCACTAGATGGCGCCAAGGGCTCTTGCCAGGACAAGGAGGAGCAAAAGGCCTACCAGGATGCATCACGTGCCCGCTCTCAGTGAGAGACTGTCTATTTAGTCGAAGCAGTACTCCAGAAAGCTCTGGGCGTCAATCCGAACTAGGACAGTGTTTTGAAAAATGAAAACCATTTTTTGCCCTTCTAGCTTATTTTTCGCGTGCCCATACATATAGAGCACATAACATTCCACTCGAGTATATTTTACATCACGTAAGTATTCTCTGGACTATTGTTTGTCTGTCCGTAAGTAGCTGGAGACTATCCACACAAACTGATGGATAATGGAAGCCGAACACAAAAGTATCTGGATAGCTACCATGGATCTTATATCTGTATACATTAGACGTTCTCAATAACTTTTAAATTTCCCGCCGTTAACAGATGAAATATAGCTGGCAAATACTACCATCTTCTAAAAACTTTGAGAAAATTTCAGTTGAGTTTACTCCAGAAAGTAGTCAAGAAATGAGTAAGAAGGGAAGCCATGGCAAGGATCCCTAAGCATAGTACGTGAATAATGCAAACGTTTTAAAAAGGTATTAGAGCATCGAAGCCCAACGTGAAGGTGAGCAGATGTCGGGGCTCGAATGGCAAAAACACATTGCCGCTGTTGAAGAGGCTTTCCATTGATGTAAATTTTCGAGCCTAAGAGCTGTGTCAGTCAAAATTGGCATCTCACATGTGACGTGTTGCAGAGTATTCAATTAATTATTACTACAAATGCGCAGATTGACTGAAAAGTATGTCTCCCGGGAATTAACTTTAGGCTAGCTGGAAATACATGTGGTGTATTTGACGCACGATGTGCGAAATTTAAGTCGACAAAAGATCCACCCGGAGCATAGGATTGCCATAAACAAAACATAGTTCAGTCTCTACCACCAGCCGGAGAGGAACCACGTGAGAGGATGGCGTTGCCGTTAAGAGTTTGCTGGCACTGGCGAGTATGTTCGAATGTTAGGTGATATTAATACTTGCGATGGACATCAGGGGCATATCCAACGTTCGACTTCGACTTGTTTATTCTCTGACCTATGCCCGTCTAGTTATGCGGCTTTTCATGTTCTAAAGAAGGCTACTAATGGGGCAAACAGATCCTACTATCGATACATTTCTAAAATAAAGCATAGATATGCGAATAACAGGTATATGGATATAAAAAATGTTTAAAAAATTTATCTAACATATATAATAACAATAAAAACTCATCCGCCTGACTAGTTCAAATATTATTTAGTTTTATAGTTAACCGGACTCACTTGTAACATCCAAATATTATGAATCCAGGTTGCCATGGAATCTTATCCCTTAACCACAGAGATGGGAATAATGTTCTTTGTTGTTGATTTTTGTCAGTCAAAGGCAACAAAACCTTTTGTGATTATATGGCTATATAAGTGTTTTGTCCATAACGATCGACATTTTTAGCCAAGTTCTAGATTTATTAAACGATGCTATCTAGTTTCAACGGTTAAAGCACGGCAGCATCGTGCGATACCGCGAACTTTTTTTCTGAGTTTTAAGTTAGTCTATCGTAATTTTACAAGAATAGCCTCACTGGAATTCATTTTCCATTTCGCCAGTAGTTACATAAGTTCTTGTTGTTGAAACAACACCGCCGATGATAACTATTAAGTATTGTATTGGTGGCATTGTGTTTTATTTCCTTTATTGATTATGAATGTTCTGCTTCTCCAGTGCCCGCGTTATCGATTCATCATACACTGCCGCGTTTGTCGTTCTCGTACTACACTTTTGATTGAAACGTATGGCGCCGAATCCTTTCCAAGCCCCAGGTGTCACCAACGGACGATGTTTCTGCTCCGATTGCGAAGAGTTCGTCGCACTCGTTGGCTGTCCATCCGCACACGTTTTTGGCTCGCTGGCTGGCTGTGCAGATACGTCTGATGGACTGTGTCTTCTTTCGCACTGGCATGTCTTTCCTCTTTGGTACGTGTCTACCGGCCATGCACGTTCGTACAGGATAAAACAGGCTTGGGGCACTAAATTATACAGTTATGCCTCACCACACAGTCCTTCTCACTTGCGATCGTTCACCAACAGTCGAGTAGTCACAGTGACCATTTCGATGACTTGAATGACGACAACGGAGATAAGAGTCCACGCTTTAACGCCATAAGACTCCCTACACAACAGCAGCTCTGGCAAGCGAGAGCAGACGAAAGCATCGAAGGAGGCCATTGTTTGCAGCAGCGGTGTCAGAGCATTGTATCACATCGACCTACCGATATGCTCAGCGTCTACTTTCCCCCGCTGCCGTTGACTCATTTTCTTCTATTTATCTCATTCTTCCCCTCCTAGGCTCATTTCAGTGCAGCAGGGGCAGCAACAGTGGCAATAGTACCAAGGAGGTGTGTTTCATTAGACTACTAGAATGTTGCAAGATCTGGAGCTTTCGGTGGGGTTATGAGGTAAAGAAGATCGTCAAAGAGAGCCGGTAGCGAACGGGGTTTTATGACGCTCTACTGCTTCTCAATCTAGGCCTGTTCTCACTGCTTCACTGTCTGTTGTCTGCAAAGAAGGCTGGCCTACGGCCTGCCGTCTGCGAATCGACAAACCAGCGTAAGCGGCAATGACACACCAACGGGCGCAACCCTAAAGGAGAAATGAGATAAAGTAGAGCAATCGTAAGCAGCAGAAGGATGCAGGCAACTGTCGGTCTGTCTGCAATTGTACGATCTGATCCACTACATATTACAGTTATACAGTTTAGGCTCAACTGTAGAGAAGGTGAAAATAGTATTCATTCCAGGAGGGGGTACATTCTGGGTAGGGACAATGGTTAGGCTATACGGATAGTAAACGAGGAGGCATGGCAAAGGAAGGAACCTCAACGTCGTCCGATGCAGAGCACGGCCACGATAGGTGGGTTTCGGTGCTGGAGCAGTAAAGACCGAATGATGGCGAAAAATCGAGAGGAACAGGGAACAGAGAGCCCGAAGTAGTAAGCCTCCTCTATAAGACCGTACGACGATGAACACGTCAACGACGAGACCAGGCAAAATGGGTAGAAGGGCGTCAAAGGGAGCGATGGTAAAGTAGCGGCCCTTGTGGCCATTCGGAATCTGAGGATCTAGAGTCGTCGGAGCCTCGAAGTCTCGGGGATGTTTCAATGCCGATGAGTGATGGTCCATCGCCAACAGCACACTTCCCCCCTCAACCTCTTCTCACCAACAACGCCTCCTTCTCTGTTCCTGATCAGCAGTGCGGCAGCAATGACGTCGTTGCTGCATCCGCTACAGACACCATTGCCATTGCACTATATAGAACTGTATACTGCAGGAAAACGAGAGATACACGCAGCAGTGACAGCAATAGGTAGCTAGTCATCGTAAAGAGTCGGATGAAGTCGGACCACAGCCATGCGGACGGTCGGTCGGTTGAAAAGTACGGTCAGGTACCAGGCAGCTTGATGCGGCAGCAGCCGACATGCCGCCCAGAAGGCACTCTAGATACTGGCGGTGTGACTGATGTACGGCACCGCCCACTGTTCGAAGTCGAGCCAAGCCCTCAGACCCCGATACCGGATAAACACCCTAGAAATCTTACCAGCACTACAACCCGATCCTAGCGACTGGTATTCTTCTCTTGCTATTCCTACAGATCTTCACTGTTGGTCAGCAGCATCAGTCTTTTGTTCACAAGTTCCACCAAATCAATACACTGCGCGGCGCTACGGCGTTTGGTGATTTGGCTGTGCTTCGCATTGCATGGTTATGACCATGGCATCCATGTTTTGTTTCGTTTGATAATTGGCCCCCCCAGTAGTGGCGGCGGAAGTCAGCCTGGCCTAGTCTACACCCGGCTCACAGGGCAGCCAACTTCCGCCCCTTTTTCTGCCTTCTATTCCCATTAAAACCGCTGCTAACATTACCTCCGCTACGTTATAGTAACTTCCCAATATATTCGCAATGGCCATCTTGGCCGAACGACATTAGCCGTGGTACGCCTGTTTCAATTGACCCACCTACTCACTGATGTCGCACCGACGCTAGGCCGTCTTTCTTTGTAGTAATAGCATTAGCGGTAGTTCTGTATGAGTGGAGGCAATTTTGTGACATGCGAGAAGCATCAAACAAGTAATACCAGACGCCCACTTTCACGTTCACGACTTTGGCCACCGCAAATCCGAAAGGCCAAACTCTCAGCGACGGCTAGACACTGATATTCGATTGGCCTAGAAGAACAGACGCGGAGAGCCTGCAAGTTTTTGGAGCATGAATCGACCCATTGTCAGTGAGAGCGAGTAACAACTGGGTTGACTTTGCCCTGCGTATTCGGCTGTTGGCCAAT